TATATATATGTCTTTCCGTGAAGTACGTGATGTGCATTTTCAAATAACATCAGGGCATCTCTAATATCCTTGCGATAAGATTTAGCCGCGGGGTCGAATTGGATCCGCACACCCTCGGGGGTCTGAAATTACAAAGCGTCGGTTGTCGAAGGACAACTATTTTCCTCAGCTTTCCCTTATCGCGAAACTTTAGCGTCTGCGAACTTCGCTCTTAATTCCGGGATCAGGATGAGATTTTCAGTGACATATTCTACGGGCCAACTTCCACGGACCTGACGCGAACGAAAGCGCGTTTCCGATGAGAATGCTCATGCGGTAAATGAAGGAAGTCATTTAATCTCGTCTTAGAATTCTTACTTCCTGACGAAGTTGCAGTCTCTTGACGTTTCTCTCCCTGTCGGGAAACCACCATTAAGTGTCGATGAAACGCAAACGGAATAAGGAGCGAACATTTTCGCCTTCGCGACAAACGATCTCGGTAAATAAAGAAGAAACTATCAGCGCTCTCAATTGTTTACGTTTATCCCGAGTCGAAATTTCGGCCCTATGTTGAATCTTTAATTCTGTTATACGGGATGAGGAGAAAGTATGGAAAACCCTAAATTTTTCAAAAACTATGCATTTTAGAAACAAATGTTTGCGACAAAAGTTGTATGGTTTCAAGGGGGACATAAGATGGTATTGGTTTGACCCTGGATAGTCGTTTGAAAGTTACATGAAGGTGATCTTGAGACCTGCATTTTTTTATTATATCATATTTTTCTATTAATTAATTGGAACAACTTTTGTCTGAAACATTTTTTATTTGTCTAATAATTTTTGAGATATTATTGTTGAGATATATTATTATTGAGATACACAAGCAAACAGAGTCGTGCGTTTGGTGAGCGACGGGGTGACAGACGTGACTCAACGCCCCGACGAGGAACAAGAGCCGAGACAAAGCGCTTACGTTCGCGCCAGCTAAGGACATTCGCCTCGCTTTATTTACGCGACCCAACATTTGCAAGATGTGATCCGCATTACGCGTTTCGTCTCGGTATATACATATATGCTTACGCATATTCGTGTATAATAATTTCATTAATAACTTAACGCGAGCACAACCACGCGGAGAGCGGTGTGCCGAGTGAACCGGATACGGTAATCCGAGGCAATTCGGCGATACGCGACGCGCATAATAATCCGCCGAAACGACGCAAAGTCTTAACGATAATTAACGCTGCCATTTCACCGTCGTAATTATTTTAGCACACAAGCACGCAACTCGCCCTCCGGATACCGCAAAATTAGAAGACTGTATAAAACAGGCTAGTTGACGTACAAACTAATAAGTAAACTTTACTGATACAAAATTGCCAAACTCCAGATGTTCGAAATCTTGAAGATTGATTTAAGTATAACTATTCGATTCTTTTCATGCTGTTTCACTTCGTTCGTCTTTCTTTTTTTATTTATTCTATTATCCACGCTATGTCTGTAATTTATTATCTTATTAAACAATCAAATTTATTGACCGCGTAGAAATTGCATGTATATTTATTTATTTGTGTATTTTAGATTTTAATTAATTTGATTGTTCAATAAGAATCGAAACTTGTTACAATGAATATGTATTGTAGCTAACATGATTTATATAAAAGTCTAATTCGCAGTTACTTCCATCTATTACTGTTACACAAATCATTATCGATTTTGGCCAATTATTTCTGATGCTCAACATAATGCAATTATTCCGCTCTCGTGCACAGCTTTCCGCTTAGTTTAAACTACGTTTGATGTATTGGGATACATCGTGAAAATGATTAATATATTGGGATCGTTCCATAAACTGCAAATTCCATCACTATATAAATCATACGTCATAAACAGCGCGTTTAGCGTCAATTGTCATACAAGCAGCGCTCTGATGAAACCCTTGCAGTATAATTGCGTTTTTATCCCGCAATCTTTTCAATCTGCCCCGTAATTATTTATTGGGTGAGCCACGCCGCTACGCCCCGTCTCTCCCGGAAGCTACACCACAATCCCGAAGATCCAGAACCGAAATCCGGAGATTAATCATTCTCGCGCACGAGATCCCGGGCGTTCTTCTTTTACGTTCCGCATCGTCGTTTGGTCGGTAGTAAAATATCGCGGCCTGTCTGGCATCTATTCAGCGCTTTCTTACCGCCCGTTCCCGAACATGGCGTGGGCGAATTTGGAAACCGCGGAACAAGCGTCGGGAACAGCGAGGCGGGATGCAAACGTGAAATATACGCCACGGGCGGAAAGCTCGGTATTTTGCGCGAATCGAACGTCCCCCCCCTTGCCTCTCTCTTCCACGGATATCAAATATTATCTCGCACGAGAATCCCGGTATAGATTAACGCTCCAGTGATGAGAGGCACGCGGGCAATCACAAGTACATTGACAGTTCTTGCAGGGAGAGACAATGTCGGATTCCCATGTCAAAGCTGCGAAGTAGAGATTCTAAGGTTTCTCTCCAAACGAAATAATAGAGCAACGTTTTAAGTCGCGTTTGTTCTAAGAATCAAATAAATCGAATTTTAGAATTTGATTGTCAGGAAATTGACTCTCTTCCCGCTGCACGTCGACGCGAATACACCCTCGGCGAGGATTTCTGTTACCGAGACAAAAAATATTCCCGACGCATTTATATTTCTCGCAACCGCGTTTAGTACAAAAATAAGACAATATCAAAATAAAATCAATAATTCTTATTCCCCTCTATCGAATTAAAAAGATCGACTTACTATATTGAGACAAGAGTAATTTGCATAGATGTAAGTTTATATATTCTTGCGTTTGAAATAAATTTGCCCTCCATCTTACAACGCACGAAGTTGGCACCGCGATATTCGACAAAAGACGATTCGTAGTATCATTTTATTCTAGATTTTAGAATTTTTCATTTAAGATTAAAATATTCCTTTCTCTCTAATAAATGTGATTGGCGCTATATCGATCCTATTTGATATATTCAAGTGTAATAGCATTGGATCCGGAAAATTTTTCTGTGGGTGTATAATTGATATGTGAATATAATAGGCTAACGACCGTTAAGTTTCATCAGTCGCTTGTCTATTTCGAAAACGATCTTGATATTGTTGTTACGAAGAGATTGCTCAAACGGCGTTAAAGTAATCAAAGTACGATTAAAATCTAACGCAAGAGAAATTCCATAAAAATATTATCAACATCTCTCGACTAGACGCTAGACGGACGATAAAAAAATATCTTTTCTAACTTATGACAAATATCTTTGAAATATCGCGATGTTTGGAAAATTTCACGGCGACCCTCCGGGGTCGCTGAATCGCGAACAACCCGATTTCTCGCAGACTCCGTCGCGAGATATTTTTCTTTGTTGAGGAACGATCGTAAATTCGAAAAAAGCGGGTCAGACACGGTTAAAGGTACGTCACGCCAGGGACCACTGCGAACATGCGAGCACGATGTGTTTCACATAACTTTACACCGAAATAATATGTGATTCGCTATAACAAAGCGAACGGCGACTATACAATACGTCCGGAGTGCTATTATCATTTTTTACGTTGGCGCCACGTGGGCGCCAGAACTGCAATCTCAGAGTACGCCGAATCTTTCACTAACATTATGTTTCTTTTCCAAAAAGCGCAGTTTACGCAGAAGATTGACTTGATTAAAAGGGAATTACACCGATAGAATTTGGTAATAAATTTGAATCTAAAAGCTGCGATTGTACTTTACAAGGGTATCTGAAATTTTACCAAATATTTATTACCAAATTCTATCGGTGTAATTCCCTTTTAATCAAGTCAATCTTCTGCGTAAACTGCGCTTTTTGGAAAAGAATCTTGCGGCAAAGCTTTTTAAAAGCTTATACACCCCATTAATTTGATAAAAATAAAATAAAATATTTATTTTATTTATTTATAAGAAATATGTTTATCATATGTGTTTGTAATTTTTACTATCGCTCTTCAGGCTTTTCATTAAGCGGACTAGAGATATTTAAGAAATACCGATATTCGTACATTGGATGTAAATTTAATGCCGTGTTTCTCTCCGTCTCTTTTAACGGTTCAGTCTGCGCGAGAAATTGCGCCGCTTGTTTCGTCGTATTCTGGCAAAACGAGAACCCGCACATCAACTTAAGCACATCAACCAGCTCATCAACCTTCAGCGGTCTTGTAATTTACAATCGCGTTCTTTTAAAGGCGCCGATCGATCTTCTTTTTTCACACTGGCGAGAGTCGGCCTGGCCTTCTACTTGTCACCGCCGGACGACACTCCGGGAATTTAAACGCTGTCAGAGCACTATACGGACCGAAGGTCTTGTAGATCTTAGAGTTTCGTATTATTAGTCTCGCGAGGCGGGTAAATGTACAACCGTAATCCTCGTTAAAAGAACGCCATTGGCGTTTATTAAATACATATTTCTTCGTGAAGCCTCAGTTTTTCATATCAAAAGCGATAAAATATTTATTATTGAAGCCAAATAAATGTAGAAAGATGGCCTTTTTTATCACGGTAATAAGGGAATATTACGTGTCGCGCGATAAGACATCTCGATAAAAGTAAAATCAAATTATTAATTTGATTTAATTGCTATTATTTTATAAGTGTGACGAATTTACTAATCAGTTTACGTGAACACTCAAGAGAAAGCACATTAAGAAAAAACCAAACGAGAGATTTGTTTTCCTAACACGCGAATATGTGGACTTACCTCTCGTAGTATATCTTTAGGCGTATTTTGGTTTTCAGGTCAGAAAGGCGAATAGAGACTTGCAGCAGCTGTCGCGTCACCAACGTCGTGAGATCGGTTTAGCGACGATGTTGATGTGCGTGGTGGTCGTATTCCTGATCTGCAACATACTGCCCATGGTCTCGAACGCGCACGAGACGTTCATCGCGGATCCGCCGCAATGGATGGTGCAGATCGGCAATCTGCTGGTGACCATCAACAGCAGCATCAACTTCATCATCTACGTGATCTTCGGGCGGAAGTTCAAGAGGATATTCCTCAAGCTCTTCTGCTCGTCCAGGCTGTTCGGGTCCAACCGGGAGAGCCCGGATTTCCAGACATACGACGAATCGATCGTCACCAATACGACGAACATCGAGTTGAGAAACTCAGTCAGGCACGGCCACCTCAACCGCGCCAACACTATCAGCTGGAACAACAACTACCACGTGTCCAATGGCAGCACCAGGCAGAGCATGAAGAGCGGCAGACCAGCCAGTCCCGGTGCAACCTGCGTTTATTATCCAGGCAAGAATCCAGCGCGAAGCCCTAGTCAGAAAACATCGAATGGTCGCAACAGGAAGAACAGTTGGAACAGGAGGGAGGACAGCGATTCCACACTGTAACTGTTCCTCGCGTTTATTATGCAATTAGAAGTGTTTAACTCAAACGTCAAGAACTTCCACTGATTTTTTAAGTAGTGAGAAACAAAAGTAGAACGATAATTCCAATGGGCAACCAATGTTAGTCTTTTGATATCTGTTATCTTGCCAGAAATCAACTGTGTCTCAACTGCTTGTCGAGATCTTTGGTTAGTCAGAATTTGTCGGCGCGAAAGAGTAATAGCTTCACATTTTATAACACACAATCGCTCGCTGCGTTTTCTCGTTTATGAATGGTTGACGAGTGATCCAACTAAAGCATTGTTCAAATGTCGAAAGAATGTTTAAAAGGACCAAAGCGATATAAAAGATAATCAGCATCGTTACCTAATATTTTTCCTTCGGTTATTTAGGATATCATCTAGTCGAAATTGAAGCAAGAAGACATTCGGAAGAAGCAGAACGAATAGACAGTCTATTTTTATGCCGTAATAGACAACGGGATTTATTCTTTATCTTCATTATTTAATCAGGAATCCTGCTGATAATACGAGTCGGGTATTAAGACAATCCGCAAACCAGAAGGGGTGGAATACGAATGAAGATAGAAGAAGAATGATCAGCGAACGACGCGAATACCCAATATTACCGTTTTTCACGTATGTTCCCGCGGTATACGTTTCCACTGTTAGCAGTTCTAATGTCCAGGACATCAAAATGGATGGAGAGGTGTAAGGATAAGATGAGACGATTCAGCGCTGCAGTGGACAATCGATATCATTGTACCCTTGGGAAGAGCTCGAACCAATCCTTACGCTCGAACGCCGTAATCCTGCGGGATGGCACGGCTTCGATATAAAGGAAAAGAATCGTTAAGGATAACAGTTCTCGCATTTCCTACCGCGGAAGAGCTCACAAAGACCAAGTCACTTGCAACGATGATCTTTCAAGCGATTCTCCGAAAGTTCCGTCTTGCTTCAGAACGACTTGAAATTAGTCGAATGTTATAGAAAGAAACTGATATTGAATACTAGCGCCGCTATTTTGAATACTTTTTAAACAGTTGTTTGATTATGCTAATCGCTTGCGCATAGTGCTTCCATCATCCTTGAACATACTATAACTTTTCTCAAAGTTTGATCAAAGACGCATATAGCGACATTGACTTGATAGATTAAACCAAAAAAAAGAGATTTCTCTTTTTCGTGATAAAAATCGTTAAGTGTACCAAATAAAATACTCTCTAAAAATTGATCTTGAAGCGAACTTGCAATAGAAATAATAATAATGAAAAATAAAAAGTGCGCACCACAATTCGAAAATTTTAAATAATATAAATAACAATAACTCGTATGATAAAATCAAGTAATACAAGAAGGGGCTCAGAGCCTGAACAAGGTTGTAGTGTCCAATAAAATTATTTAATTATAAATGCATATATACGTTTCGGTCCCTATCTGGACTATCTTCAGTATGAAGAAGAGATAGTAACAATTTAACATGTGGGCGGATTCGCAAGTTAGATATATACAAAGAATTGCCCAGTCAATAGTGTAAAATTAAAGGATATAAAAAATGTAATAAGGTATAAAACGATAGTACATAAAAAAACACGGCGCAAGTGAATATAACATGTTGATTAAAAAGAAAGGGTTGGAACCGTGTTGGACTGTGTGGATGACGTTACAATACACCGTGTTATACTCACTTGCGCCGTGTTTTTGTTTTATGTACTACCGTTTCATAACTTATTACAATTTTTATATCCTTTAATTTTACACTATTGACTGGGCAATTCTTTGTATATATCTAACTTGCGAATCTGCCCATATTTTAAATCGTAACTATCTCTTCTTTACACTGAAGATGGTCCAATAAGGACCGAAACGTAATATGCATTTATAATTAAATAATTTTATTGGACACTACAACCTTGTTCAGACTCTGAGCCCTTTTTATTACTTAAAATAATATAATTGTAAGGAAAATTAGAAAAATTTTCTTTTCAGGAATCTTTGATTTTATCTTCCATCGCAAGTTCTTGATTTTTAGTCTTAAATATCTTGACAATTAAAAGATATGTAATAAATGTCTAATAAATTTTAAAAAATGTTGCATAGGTGTATATATATAAATATACATATGTAAATATATTTATTAGAATAAGGGTAAAAGCCTTTTGCAAGGGGACAAGAATCTCTACTAAATTGTATTATAATTCCAAACTATTAAATCTTATTTTGCCTTAATCTTTAAAACGAAAGAAGCGAAAGAAAATATATGAAAATATTATGAACAATTTATATAGCTATATTTCAATTCAAATATAATACAAATAAACTATTTATATTTTTGATAAGAATTTAAAACAGACGATTAAATCGGACACATATTTTCTTGAAGCTTCCCTATTTTATCCTTTCCGAGTTACGTAACAAAATTTTGTTTAAAGATACAAAAATTTAATCCAAAAATTGAAGAGCAAGATTTGGTTTTTTTTTATAACGTAATATGTAAATTCTGTCAAATTCTCTTTAATTTTCTTAATCTCTAATTCTAAAATCACCTTTAAATCATTTCTCGGCATAATTTAATTTAATTCTCGTGCTATTCAGTGCTTAATAGCACGTCCTTTGTAAGCATGCTTTGTATTTTACGCTAAAATTTAAAACTTAAATGAAGACATGATAAAAAAATCTTGTAAGCGAGATAGGCCAACAAAAAGTTTCAAGACCAGAAGTTAAGTTTCATTGGAGAAATGTTACACTCCTGCAGTGTAACCTTAAAAAAAAATAGAAAGTAATCTGCTAACTCGGACCGAGAACGTTTCGCGAACTTCCGACACGTCAGTCACGTACTAAGCTCTCCGGAGAAAATAAATCGAATTTCAAAGTCAGAAGTACAGAACCCAATAGTGCGACATTCCCCCGGGGAGGACTTTTGTCCTGGCTGTAGAGAATCCTGTATCTTGCATTCTCGAACTATTGCTCTCTGAAACATGCATACTGAGCAATCTCGACCGCCATTCGTCAATTGAAGAAAGGTGGCTATTATTAAAACTGCAAGATAAAAAAAAACTGTTGCTTCTAAATGCCACTTTAAAGGAGACACAATTCGATTTAAAATATATTTAAAAGATTTCGTAATCTTTTAAGTACATTTTTAGCTATTTCAAAAACCTGTTTGAAAAATTTTTGGTGATTTAGACCGGCTATTATTTTATCCAAAATTATAATAACTTGATAATAATGAAATAAAATCAGTTTTCTAGGTTTTTCTTACAGCAAACTTATTACGGTATTTTTTTAAATTGATTTTCTCAAAACGTGAAACAACGACGTATATATTGTACACATTTCCTTTCATTCACGTATAGCAAATAAAGAATATACGTATAGAATGCATGTATATACAGACGTACGCATGTGTGCGCGCGCGCGTGTGTGTGTGCGATTGCACTGAAAAATGCTAGAACTATAGCCAAACCAAAGAAATGTACTTCTATTAGCCAAATATTCAAAGTATAAGTGTTAGCCTTTTAAATTTCACGAATAGTGTGCAACATAATATTTGCACTGAAAAAGTATCGTTTATCTTATAAGTGCGAGCGAATATGTTATAGATATATTTTAGAGAATCGTTGAAAACTAGACATCAATATAAGAATTTGTAAATACATTTCTATCTACGAATTTATCAAATAATATCTATATTGACTTCAAATACTTCTCCGTTCCCCCCCCCCCGCTGTAAAAAATGAATTATTTACAGCTTGTATGATAATCTCCACCTGATAAGTAAGAAAATACCAATAAATTAGTGACAGACTGTCCAATACGTAATTTAATTTTCGGCTAATTGTATAAAATAGGAGATGCTAGATAAGATATTGTAAGATTAAAGTTAACTTTAAATCTTAACGATTACCAAACATATTCTTGCTAAAGGGAGAGAGAGGGAGAAACTAGATTTAAAAACAGAGGGAAACAAAACGCTCTCGTAATTATACGATAAAAGAGATTCGCCGTTCTAGTCACGGAATTTCTATCGAATCCACTATAAATATGTATACTCGTATATATGTATATATAAATATACTTAATATACATATACGACGCGATCTGTATAAACATATGCTCTATAAATTCACATCTTTGCTTGTTCATCATATCCTGCTGCTATCGGAACATTTTTGTAAATATAATATAGGAATCATCAGGTAATAATAGCTGAACAGGTGAACAATGGCTGGGGAAAATAGAGCACTAATTTGTGTACGTTTCATTAGATAAAAAAGACATTAAAGTAAAATTTATTCCAAAATTTAAAAAAATTGTATTATTACTCAATGCCTTCTTGTCTTTCTCTTTGTATGCTAATGATACTTGGTCAAATGAATGAAAATCGAAATAGTTGGCACTTACGTGAAAACTGAGACAAAAACGTATGAATTGTAGAATTAATTTTCTTTCGTTGATAAAAAAACTTGTAATCCTTGTACCAAACTTGTATTCCAGCCAATATCTCTATTCCGTTGCTGCCAAAGCATATCGTACGTTTTCGCGTAGCTCCGTACTAGTCCCGTTTGTAATCTAACGATATAATAAGGCACGATGAGTTAAGGAAGATTAGATCGCAGTTAGAAACATATTTCGCCACTCGTGTAAACCGTACGTCCTCTTTATCACTCAAATGTGCTTTGAATCAATTTTATTGTACATAAAATAAATTCGCACAATCGATACACGAGTTACAATTATTTAATTCCCCGATGACAAGATGTTAATCCTTTGCACTCGGAAGGATTTTGGCTAAGAAGTGTCGATGAAAACTTTTTATACAAAAATAAGTCATACATATATTAACAGATATAACCAATTTATTTCAATAATTCATGTACTATATTTTTACACGACAATCAGCTGACCTTTCCAGTGTGTACGTTCGAGGGTGATCTCTCTCAGTCGCCATTCGAGTTGCCGCAGTAAACCAAGTAGCGAGTGAGTCGCCTCTCGAGTGCAAAGGGTTAAATCCATACAAGACCAAGATCCCACATGAAGAAAGAATATTACAAAGTCTCTATGCTTATGATGTCATCAATTATATCTGTATCGTCTGAAAACATGAGTTAAGGCACGATGAGTTGAAGAAGATAAAATCACAGCTTCAAAAATATCAACTGAACAGGAACGGCGTGAATACACGAAATACATTGAGTGTGCGAGAAATCTCTACACTTACAATGCCATCAATTAATTATATATATCTCTTTTTGAAACATTAAACAAAACGTGACGATTTAAAGAAGATTGAATCAGCTTTTAAAATATTAATTGACCAGGAAGACAAAAGAAAACGTGATAAAATACACTGCGAGTTTGTTATAGGAATTATATGTAGCCTATTTATGTCTCCTTCGTGTTGGCGGCATTTTGTTTTATCTAATGTTCTTTTTCTATTACAATTGCGGTAATATAAGCAACGAATATGGAGCCACTTTCTCGATCAAAGGCGACTGTTGAATGTCACATGTGCTCTTAGCAAACCGTTATCTGTGGCCATCGGACAACTGCAGAACGCGGCACCAAGACTGTGAGATAAGCTTACAAAAGGATTTTTTGACTACATTTATTTGACGAATATTATGACACGGCTTATGTATCGTTATTACATAATGCGACTGCGATTCCATCCACAAGCTAATTTTCTTTCGGCTTTTTGCTCTTCGATCTCATGTAGAAGTACATGGCAATCAATCCTATACCGGCGTACGTCGCTTTCGTCACCTGGAAAATAAATCCGAGCCTCGAAAATCCATTCGCAGGTAAACGAGGGCTGATCAGCCTCGTCGACGACAATTTTGAGGTTAAGCCTCACTCACGTTCGCCCGGCCGTACGAGGTCTGGCTGTTGAAGTGTTTCGCCAGACCCGTGAGCTTCTCTTCACCCTCGGCCATTGTTCACTGCCGGGAAAGCTCGATTTTACACACGAAAATTCTGCAGAACGATCGGGGAACGTAGTCAAGCCGCGAACTCGCCCTACCTCGGTCACGATCGTCTGCTGGACGCCATATTGGAAATGTATCGAGAGTAAATCGCGAGATATCTGTATCTCGAACCTTGGAACTTCGAAAAGACCCGTCGAATTTTGCCCGCGAAAAGGGCAAATACGAAATTGCTTCATTTTAATATACAGCGTGTCAGTGAATGTTTGACACTTATTTTTTGTACAGACTGACACCCTGTGTTTAGCTCCCCTCATAAAAATGAGAGCACACATTTGATCTTACATGTTCGAGACATTGCCATAATCCCTAATATTTAATATAAAATTTATTTATGCCTAAAAAATATAGACGTCGCATTACGCAACGCGCAATCCATTTCCTCAAATTGTGAGAAAACAGTTTGCAATGTAAATCTTGATAAATCTTAATGTTACTTTTATGTTAAAAAACAAAAGAAAACATTTGATAAACACCTTTTTAATGTTCGGTATACTTGCTATAGATACGGGCGTAACAACCAATCGCAGATAGTTTTTTAAATCAAATATATTTCAATAACTCTTCTTAATACCAAGTATATCGCGACAACTCTTGTACTCATTTATACATATTTCTTGTCATCGTATAAAAATTATATAAACATCTCTTAATTTTGTTACTTATAATTATTTAACAGGTAGCATCAATTAATGTTATACGTTCTAATTCAAGAATTATGTATACTTAGCTTACCAAAATAATAGAATTAACTAAACCACAATCGACCAGACAACCACGGACAAGAATGCCATCTTAATGTTCTAAGGTTAATCAAACTGTTTTTTTTTTCACATTTTTTCCTTAGACCACTTCATTGGCCAAATACTGGAAAAATAAGATACAAGAAAAAGCAGTTCTAATTATATAATATTTATACTTAATAGTACTTTTGTTCATCGTTAGTATATTTCATAGCCTCCTTTCATACCTTGTCACAATTACATAAATTCCAAATCAATATGTCAGTTAATACAAACAAAATCATACAGAATTCAGAGTGATATCGCATCACAACATAAATGTCACTTATTCTCCTTATATCAAAACGTAAAAAAAGAAATAAAAATGAAACTTATATGTATGCTGTTCATGTATACTATACACATGTTAATTATAGTAATTTCTTACCTAAGAGAATGTTAGTAATCATTTGCATTGTAATAACATAAATCACATTGAATATCAGTCAAAGAAATTAAAATGAATCACGAGTTTTGTTTGTTACAGTAAAATTATATAAAAGCTATATATACTAAAATATTTATACTATATGATTTGAATTTAATTCAACATGTTGTCTCAAGTCGCGGTAAGTAACGAACAATATCTAGAAAAAAAAAAGTTTAATTAATCCAATGTTCGGAAGAATTAGTAAAATTTTTGCAGAGAGTATTTCTACAAATAATATTGTTCACCTTAATAAGAAACTTTTCGAATTATTTTTTATTTCTGAGAATATAAATCATATAAAATCATTTGTAAAAATTACATATAAATCGTGTATTTACGACTCCGATTTATATGTAACTTTTACAAATAATTTTAGATGATTTATATTCTTTATATGATTTATATTGTTACAACTTCAAAACCTATTTAAAGAAAAATCGAATTTTAAAACATCCTATTATGTAACATAGCACTCACCCATAAAGTAGGTAGAATAGAACTGTCCAGAAATTCGTTCTTTTTAAAAGCATTATCTATTTCTTCGAATGAAATTATTTTTAGTTTGCGCAATAATGTCAACGCAGTTTGCAACGAAATCAAATTAATGGAGATGATTCGTTTCTCAGAATCACGCGGAACTTTTAGAGGATACCTAGAATGGCAAAAGCATATTCTCACATTTAAAAAAGTATTAATTTGAAAATTATACATAAACTCATAATATCGTATCGCTGTATTTTTATATTTTCTATATTATACAGCGAAAATATGTGAATATATATACATATATATACATTCACACACATTACATGTATATACATATATATCCTACATAGCATTTACAATTACAATATTTGCAAATATTGTAATTGTAAATGCTATGTAAACGCTTTCACATCGAGCCATGCGCCATCCCACATAGCATTTACAGTTACAATATTTGCAAATATTGTAATTGCAAATGCTACGTGGGATGGCACATGGCTCGATGTGAGGGCGTTCGATTCCGACCGTTGTCCCGTATATGTCTTATTTGTGTAAGGGGTTAATTGTGTTAAGAAGTGATGAGTAAAGGAATAGGAAGGATGAAAAATATAACTTGTTTCGAGAATCAAATTATTTGAATAACATGGCAATTGTAAATATTAAAATATTACAAATTTACCTATCCAATTGTGAAAATTCTGCTGGATACTCGGATCTCTGGATTTCTTTGAAGACAACCTTTATATTCATTGCTTCGAGTACGGCTAATAAACGAGATTGCAATTTGAAATTCGTAAAGGCTTCTACAAACTCGTACGTCAATATCCAACCATCATGTGCGAAGTTAAATATAAGCGTCACGCCTTTAACTGTGTCTGTGAAGAAATGATTAATAATTAGTTCTATACACAATATCAGAAGAAATGGCTCTATCAGCTAAATACTCAATAGTGTCGTACCAATTTTCCGAAATACAAAAGAGCTAGCCGCGTTCCACTGTTGAGCAGGTCCCGTTTCGATGTTTTTCCAGGAATTCGTACAGCTATACATTGGCCCCTCTTTGTCGCGATTGTCTTTAAATGTGAAATTAAAGCTCGATTCGGTCGCTTCATTCATCTCTCGAGGAATGGATTTTCTGCCGGTATCACAGTTCCAGTCTTGATGAGATAAAGTAGTCGGTGTGCTATACACAGAGTGATTCGACATAGGAACGTTGTTTTGTAACTTCGAGTTGATCCAATGCTCTGAAACCTCGTTTTGAATCCAAGCTTGCGACGACACAGGTTGGAAATTGTTCACGTTTTGCTGGTAATATGCCGATTCGCCATTTACTACCGGCTGTGAGCCCTGAGTGTAATATGTCGGTGGTTGAGTGACATAGTTCTCAGCTTGCGAATTATCTCTCTTTATATGATTTATCATATGCTGCGTATACGAAGTAGCAATATCCTTCGCAGGCTGCGATGCCGGTTTCTTATCTTGTCCTAATTCGAGAGACTGAGTGTTCTGAATATTATCGGAATTGCTCTTGCGCGTGTTTTGCTTTGCATCTACGTCTGCCTTCTTCTTTTGGGTATTATACATTACCGGACCGGATTCATAGACGATTCTCGAAGTGTAATTTCTATCGAGATGTCCCGCAGGCGTAAAACAATTGCTCTTCGAATGAATATTCGGAGTTTCCGTTTTCGAACTATGGCTTTGTGGATTTGTAACCGTGAGATACGATGCGCCACTCATGTCGTACTTGTGAGACGTTTGCTCATTCTGCGTCTCCGGTACCTGCATTCCATCAGTCATTGAAAACTTGAAGGGATTTGTGTCTTTCAGCATATTGGTAAACTGGTTGTTTATGCTCTCCAGGAAGTGCGAGAAATCATTGTAAAGATTAGTCGTCGGGACCGTTGAAGATACTGGCGTTTCAGGAACGTTTTCGCCGTTCCGATTAGTACTTGGAAGGAAGGTACTGGTTGATGGTACGGGATTAACGAACATTGAGGACACAGAATTTGCAATTGTTGAAGGAGGCATTTGCATACGGGAAGTCGAGGACGAATTGAGTTCGTTAGATTGATTCCAGTTGGACTTAGCGGTAGCAAAACTGTCTGAGTTATAAGTGGGAAACGCGATATTATTCTGCGGCCTGTCGTCGTTGTTCGTGCCAAACGGATTCGTCGTCGAGAAAGTATTTGCATTAATGTCCTGTTTCGGGAAAGTTTCGCTCTTTAAAATATACTCCTGCGCGGGACCAACATCGTTCGACGTCGTTCCGCTCGTAGTATCAGTTGTTGAAGACGTGTTTGTGACCACGGAATGATCCTCTTTTTGTTCCAATAACGCCTGCTCAACAATCTTCAAAATCTTATTTAACTGGATCTGATCATTGAATGAGAACGATGAATGTTCTAGCAGATCCTCGAGGATGCGAGTCAGTTGAATTTGCAATTTCTTGTTCTCGTTCCAAACTGTCATGTACATTTGTTTGGCAACATCATTAGGACTGAATTGTTGGTCAACCAGGAACGGATTTGTCGTCGCCTCCGCGTCGCTAAAGCCCGACGCCTGAGCGTTCAACACAGGAATATTTTCGAAGGAACAACCGTAAAGGTTTGTTGCCGATAAGTTAGGCGAAACATGTTCGCTGAGAGGTGGAAAACCTGGAGGCGGTCTCACTGAATGTTGCTGATGATGATTATCATAATGTAGATGCGTCGGCCCGGGTGAGACTACAGGTACCTCGTGCTTCTCCTCTGTTGGTTGCTTTGCCGATGTTGCTTTGCAGCAGTTGTCGGGCATCAGGTTCTCCTCAGCAAAGCAATACGTTGGTAATTGGTTCAAATTGTTTTGAACGTACTTCATTATGCTTGCCATGTCGACGGCATCAGCCTGAGTGACGAAACCAAAAGGGGCAAGATCAGATAAAATGTTACGATAAGATCGTGGTAAAATTTTGAATTTTAAAAAGTGAAAGTAATATTCGGATATCAATGAATCTCAGAATATCTGAAGAAGCTCAAACAACCGATTAAATTAGGCAACCATAAGAATTCGGGAAAAATTATCATTTTATAAGATTACAGTATTTCTGTGCTGAATAGTACAATAATTTCACACGTATACTTTTGCACAATTCCTTTATTGCAATGTGGCAGAATAATAACCACAGTGACAGACACATATGACACCATACATAAGGTTCAAATTTTTCCCAGAATTAAACTAAACTGATAACCTAATGTATTATTACACAATAGTTGTAGAGATATAATTACAACATAGTTACAAATATAAATATATATATATTAATTGTAAGATCAATTATACAAGGTGGGCCAAAAGTAATCATCCGATGTTGTTTGGCTATAATTTGTAAATGAAACGAAATATTTCGATGCGATTTTCTTTAAAACATTATTTGGTCTTTTAAGTTTTATTACATCAAGATTTGAAAATGATATCGGTCAAGTGACCGCCGCCATTCTGAAGGAGACATTTCCGGGCCGCCTCATATCGCGTTTCGGCGATATGCACTGGCCCGCAAGATCGCCCGATTTGACTGTTCCTGACTTTTTCTTTGGGGTTTTTGAAGTCGCGGGTCTATGCGAACAAGCCACAGACTCTGGCAGCCCTTAAAGAGAACATCCGACATGAAGCGGCCAACATATCGCCCGACGTTCTCAAAAAAGCCATGAAAAATGCTAAAAGGGCCCAAATGGTAATCAACAATAGCGGCGATCACTTGACCGATATCATTTTCAAATCTTGATGTAATAAAACTTAAAAGACCAAATAATGTTTTAAAGAAAATCGCATCGAAATATTTCGTTTCATTTACAAATTATAGCCAAACAACATCGGATGATTACTTTTGGCCCACCTTGTATATATATATAGTATTAATAGTTAATTATATATATGTATATGTATATATTAGTTATATGTACATACACACATACATATACAGGGTGTTGAAAAAAAAGGGTTACATATTTTGATAAGAGGTAGTATTGGTCAAAACAAAAAGAAAAGGTCTAATTAACATGGGTCCTAAGACTAATATCTTCAGAGATACAAGCTATTTTGTTATTTGAGCTCTTTGTCATTTTCTTATTAATCGTGTCATCTTTAGAATGTAATGAACAAAGGAGTAGGGAAGAATGGGGTACAATGGGGATATCTTTTTTCTAGGTGCTTTCAAAACAAGAAATAAACAAAGAGAGATTCTTGTGAGATCTGACTTGTGGTGTCTATTGCGAACCAAACGTAAATATCAGGAGAGAGAAATGAAGTTATGGTGCGTGACTTGAAAGAGTGCGTGATTCTCTAAGACGTTCATTACATTCTAAAGATGACACGACTAATAAGAAAATGACAAAGAGCTCAAATAACAAAATAGCTTGTATCTCTGAAGATATTAGCCTTAGGACCCATGTTAATTAGACTTTTTCTTCTTGTTTTGACCAATACTACCTCTTATCAAAATATGTAACCCTTTTTTTCAACACCCTGTATGTAATATATTTATACCTATAAATTGTAATTTAATATCACTTAAAAATTATACATCTTGTTAGAAATTAAAAATCGTATATAAGAAATAAACAAATAATGTAATTCAATATTAATGTAATTATTAATATAAGAAATGTAATTATTAATATAAGAAATAACAAATAATGTAATTCAATATTACAATAGCATATATTATTGTTTCATTTATTTTACAAACGCATTTTTCAAACAAAAAAGATTGCTCGTTCATGTAACTTGTCGCGTAATAAAATTTTCTCTCGCGACGCAACATTAAATTTTGAAATTTAAATCATTCGAGACATCCGTAATTTGCATTGTTTGTTTAGGCGGTTTGTTGCGCGATGTAAAGAGGAACATTTTATTCAGTTCCTGCATAAGCATTCGCTCCGATTCGCTGCTCTCATCATCGGATTCTATATCGCAGTCATTAAAAACCGGAGAAGCAAATGCATTTTCAGTCACGTTCACGTCGCCATCCGTCGAATTGCACGTGCTCGATTTAACCGATTCGATATCCCCCTTACTTTCGTCACTAATGTCATCATTGATACTCTCATCATTAGAGCTCAAATCATCTGAATCTAGAAATTCAGAGTTATTATCTATACTTTGTATCATTTTTAACATCTGTTGCATAAATTTCGGAGCGCCCAATGCCGTCTGATTCGTCGTTTTCAATTGATTTGAATCATCCACGTTACAAGATGAAGCGATAAAATTAGAATCGGATTGACTCGACTGATTCAACCGACGCCGTGCGTCATCAACGTTAGGAGAAGCAATAAAATCTATTTCTGTGGACGGAATAGTCGTTCCTCCGAAATTACTATGTGACTCGTCTAATGTTCGATTTTTAGGCGATTCCTCGGACGTTGACTTGAGCTTTTTAATTATCTCGATGCGACCATTTGTGTCTGAACAATTAGAGGTCTTCGATGGTTCGTCGCTTGACGAGATAATGGTATCATCGGATGTATTGGAACTGTAAGACGACGATGGAATGTGATCGCTGCTGGAAGACTCGTTTGCGTTTACGAAACTAGAGTTCATCGAATCAACACGCTTACGGCTCAGTTTGTCCAATAGCGTCTTGAATGTAGAACGGTACACTTTCTTATCTGCATTGGACTCGAGGCAATTATTTGTATTGCATTCAGACACTTCTTTATTTATGTTATCTTTACTATTAGATATATTAGGAATAACTGACTTCGAATCTGTATTAAAATTTGTATTCTCTATTTTCTGTTCGGGTCTTGTTTCGCACATTTTGCCGTTTCTGTTCACTTTCTGATCGATTTCCTTCGAAGAAGCGACGTTGGACTTAACGAGATTTGTATTGGAATTCGATGCATTTTCCAACTGAGTGCCATTATGTAATTCCTTGAGTGTATTGTTTGGCGCAATCATTACTGTGACAATGTGGTCGGGCTGCTGCCGACTCTCTTTCAGTGCTTCTATAAAATCAGACGTATTTTCAATGTCATGATCGATATTATTTTCGGGCAAAAAAATTTCCTTTTGCTTGGAAGTTATGTTTAAAAAATACTGTTTCCCAGGTAATTCTCTCTCATTGTGCAATTCTGATTTATCTTCTACATTGCTCTCACAACTTGTAATTGACGTGTCCAAATTTTCATTAAGCTCTGAAGCGGTTGTTTTGTGAGGTAGAATTTTCTCATTTCTTATCGCCGACCAATCAACGGGTTCCATCAAACCGCGTCCACCATACAAACTCCTAAATGTCCCAAAATCGTTCGTATCATTTTCATTATCGGAATCTCTCGGATCGAAATTCATATGCCAGCCACAGTCTTCACTGTTATTCTGCGAGTTTATCTTTCCATTTGCATTGATTCTTGCACCTTCGTTATCTGAATTTGTATCGGACGTGGAAGTGCTCAGATTGAAATTTTTCGCCCTAGGATTCAGTGTTTGCAATTTTTCTAATAACAACTTTCTAGACGTCCTAAGTCCCTCTTTTCGATAGTTTCTCAATTGCGATTTAGAACCCGCAGCCTCCGTATCCGGAGACTTGGCATCTGAAATCTTAGCGTCTAAAGACTTAGCGTCGGAAGATTTGGCATCTAAGGACTTAGCATCCGGCGATCTACTACATAACATTTGTAAAAGCGCTTTTTTGCTGGTCGGGACGTTATGCAAGGACTTGACAGTGTTGCGTTCGATATCTTCGCTTTTTACATCGGATAATCTAGGCGTTCTGTCATTACATGATATCGATTGATATTTATGTCGCGGATAATTTTCACTATTTATCATTCTTATGTCTTCCTTATGGATAATCCTTTTAGACGTAGAAGGTTTGATATTATCAGGTGTCATAAAATATATTTCATTTATACGCACCATTTGACCAACTTGCGCTAATCTCTGTTTCACTAACCAATTGTTTATTATCACATCCTCATCTTCGGTTGTATCAGTCAAAATAACCATCATGGAATTGTGCTGTCAAAAGAATCAGATAAATAATTTTATAATTTTACTATTCTATAATAATAAATTATACATATAGAGATAATTATTAGAAATAGTTATATAAACATTATTTAGAGTTAAAAATAAAATGTGTTATAACTGGAATTAATTTTTTTACACTTGTTCCTTTAATATTAAAAATTAAAATAAAAAAACAAAAAATATTAATTCCAAAAATATCAATAACAAAAGTACAAAGATATCAATAGTTACTAAAATATACTTCAGAATTAAGAATTAAAATATCTTGACATAACTTTAACCAAACTGTTCCCTTAGAAAGAGACAAAGGAGTTAAACTTATAAGGTTAAAGTTAAACGACGTTGGAAAAACCGGGCCTTTTACGTTCAGAAATAAAATAAATAATCACCGTAGGATCAACTGTAATTACAGTTGCAGCTAAAAGAGTATCGGCAATCTTGTCAATGAATTGATCGACTGCGCTCTTCTTCCAACGATCACCAACAATTGGTGTAACATTATGTAAGCAACAAGGTATTGCTTGAGCGGGTAGACTAGAAAAGCTTTTATGCAAATAATATACATCCTCGGCGGCATACGTCTTCAAAGTGCCGTAATCATAAAAGAATACCTGTTTTGAAAAAGAATTGCATATCAAAATGTTAATTTCGAAAAATTAACAAAATTACTTGTCGGATACTTGCTTCAAGTGCGGTTTATACTACATTCATACTAACCGTTACTCTAAAATCTGGCTTCACACTCTTAATGATTCCTCGGTGCCACCTATTCACATAAATGCATGCGCAATTCATGTCCTTTTTCAAGGCAACTTTTGCAATTATGTATGTATTTTTCTTCTCCTCATAGAAATCGCTGAAAGTAAGACAATTATGATTCAGGTTTCATTGCCAATATAAAGAAATTTGGAGACATTAATCGACCGCTCATGTACTTACGTTAGCTTGTCCATCATTTCATAAAAGTCGGTCCTATTTCTGCGGAGGTGTATCCAGAAAAAGTTTGGATGAAACACCTCTACAACATATACTTCTAAGAAACTCTTCTGTTGTAATTCAGTCACCGGTATTTTCCCAATCTTATCGCCATAATTCATTACATCGTTGGGTGCAAAGCTCTTAGTAATGGTAGGCGACTGTAAAATTACATAGATCACTGTAGCAATTAAATTATCATGATGCAATAATAATTCTAACTTTCAGATTTTCGCGGCTATTGACACCGTCAGTAATAATGCCTTTCAGATGGATCAGTCTACAGCACCTCTGTCTACAACATAATACCGACGTTTCGCAAACATTGCAGTTTGCATAATCAGGGCTCGCAGGATCTAATACTGAGCTCTCTTGAATTGCGGTCCTTAGATATTCCCTCCACTCTTCCTATGGTGGAGGAAAGGAAAGAGAGAGGAATTAGCCAATCAGAGTGTTTAATTAAGTGCTCCATGTATCATCGAATGTTAAACAAGAATAAAATGATGCGCAGGTGATGCCGTCGAAGCAGCCCAGCTAAGTCACTATGATTAGCTAATCCCTCTTTCCCCCCCTCTTCCAGAGGGAGAGTGAAGAGACGCGGGTATCCAAGGACTACCGCAATTCGAGGGGACTCTGTACCAGAGCCTCCCAGCCCTAGTAATGCAATGTTTGTGAAACGTAGGCGTGACGCTGTTAAACGGACGCCCCTGGCGAAAATATGTTTACAAGAAGTTTGTTTAAACGTTGAGTCAATGTTTTATTTGAGTTTTAAAACATTTATTGAATTGTTTGTGAGACATAAATTTAAACATGGAGTTATTTATGACATGTTCAAATTGTGTTTAATGATACAATGTCAAATTCCATTATAGTTTTCTAAGTGTTTGTGAAATGTTATTGTCAGTAAAGAATTAACCAGGTGTTTGCAACGTACTTCCAAACGGTGTAAGCATCAATAAAACTCTTCACAAACAATGCAACTATCGATAAAACTCTTCATAAATAAATATAAACATCATCTCCCACTTAAAATTTTCGCCAGGGGCGGCACCCATCCGGAAGCCATTATTATTGACGAATAATAAGAATGAATTATTTAACTAACATTTTATATAAAAAAAACAAAAAATACTATAGATGTACTTTTATACATTATAAAAATTATTTATGAATTTATGCTCGAACTTAAATATAACAATAAGATTTTTATTTGCACCAAAAGATTAACGCTTTGTTCTGTACTTTTTTCATAGATCTTAATAGTAATATTCACACGAGAAAACATTATTTGCTTTAGCATTATTATCACAGTTAACAATTTATAACATAATCGGCTAGAAAATATACTTTGCCGGCAAATTCTAGGAAATTCCAAATAAAAAATATCACTAAGTAAATACACGGGTTATTAGTGAATATTTATTACGTACAATTTCCGCCGGGATCGGTGCATCGTCGACATTGTTATTATTACTGTACTGTGCTTGCTTGTCATATCGATTGGGCATTATGTCAATAGGGTCCGTTTTTGGAACTATTGGTCTCTTGTCCGCGCTATACAGCATGAAGTCATCATTCTTATTGATCTGCGTCATGTAAAAAATCTGTGGCAGGTAAGACGTGAACTCGCGTACACTGGCAAAGCCCATCACGGTGTAATTCAGGCGCATCTTGTACATATTGAAGAATACATTGGGCAGGTCGGCACACAAAATGCCCTCCGGATGTCGTTGCATCAGTTCTTCCAATCGAGATTTGGTTTTGTCATTAATCAATGTGGATAAGTCACAATATTCGTCAGTCTTCATTCCCATGGTGCTCTTGCTATTCACGGTGAAGTCGTCATTGCTCTCGCTGCTTCTCTTCATGTAGTTAGACATATCAACGTCTTCACAGTTATCATATTGAGAAAATTTCATAAACTGCTTTTTCGTTTTTTCTGCACGTCTCTGAGAGCTATTGGCATAATTGGCTGGCACGAAGCCATTGTCAACATTACAATACTGCACATAATCGGACTCCTCCCCAGCAGCGCATTCAGTTTGTCTAGTCGGAGGCGATTCTAAATCATATAATGAGTTTTGTATCACAGGCTGGTAGGACAAATCTTTCGACTTATGGTAAATCATATTTCCATCCAACAGCAACTGGTGCATCTGCGTCAGCAGCTGTGTCCGTAATTCCTGGCTAGAGATATTGATTGACGAATCGTCATTCACGAAGGCCACAGCGCTCTGCAAGCTGACACCGTTCGGATTGTTCCTAATGTGTTGCACGAGCCGAAGTAACTTGTCAGGCGCGATTTTAGCTTCCTGCGACCTGTTGTACTGGACACGACGATTGAACGGCGCTAGCGCGTACTGACGCGTGCGAGGAAATCTTTTGCTTATCTGGCGCTCCACCAACGAGCTCACATGCTTACTCTTCTCCGACGCAATCGCGTGCACATAGTTCTGGCCGTTATGTTCCTCGACGACGAAATGCTCCGGCATACTTCGGAGAAAGTCCACCAAGGTGGAATACCCAAGTCGGCGGTACGGTACACGTTGTTGCTCCTGTTCGTAGTAGTCACGGTCGAGACAGGTCAAGGATGTCGCGCCTTTCCGGGAGACCAAACACGCTAGCAAAATCTTGCGGACATCGTCAAGTGTCGTCTTGTTCGACATCTCTGAGATCTCTGTTTGTCAAGAAAACTTTCTTATTATCACCTATTATAAAATTTTAACATTTATAAGGGAAGAATGGTATATTTGATGAAAGTTTAGAAAAAGTACACTGTAAAAACAATTACATGTAAAATTACAATCATTATAGTGGGTAATGCTGGTACCATCTATTAAACTGATCTTAAAATCGCTTTAAGTCTGGCGTTGAATGCTAGTTTCAGACTTCGAGCAGACCTCGGGCAATTTGTAGTTCATGTCAGAATTCAGAATTCCATTTTACAATCTTACGTACCGTGTAGTGCACAAAAATACACGCATGCACGAAGATGTTGCATTAAAGAATACAACATACGTACGAAAATTCTCGCAGGAGATTAAAAATGCGTCGGATCTCCATCCTAGTAAGCGTTCAACTTCGCCTACGAGTCTGAAATTTTGTGAGCTTCGAAACAAAGAACTTGACTCAAGAATCTACTTTTTATGACAAAAAAATGTCATCGATAGACTTTATTGTTAATGTTGCTTCAATGAAATCTCAGGCTGCGTTCCGATATTCACTGCCAGTACTGAAAATGCATAGTGCACGTGACGTAAACTGTAGGCTTTCAGTACTGGCAGTGAATATAGGAACGCAGCCTTAAGGTCTGTGTCCACGGTGCTAGAACTTG